GATACTTCACATCAGTGAAACTATTGATACTTGCTGACAGATATTTTATTAATATAAAATATTGTTTAAAAGTAGGTATTGGACCAGTGCAATACTGGGCGTTAAAGTGTTACGTATAAGGAAATGAGTCACATTCCCTTCTAACAATTTTTACATTTCACCAAATCGCGAATTAGTACACGATCATCATTTTTTTCCCAAAATTTGTTGGACATTACCGTCAACAAAAAATCTCGTGTATTGCAAAAAGCTTACGTCCACTTTATTAATTTCCTCTCCAAGTCGACCTTGCGCAGCAGTTTCAATTTTCAGATCGTTTTTCCGACGTGATTTCTCTCAGAATTTTCGCACATGTCTCAGCCCACTTGAAATTTCAATTTCAGCAAGTTACCGTTAATTTCCGATTCACGATAAGAGGAAGCAAGAGAGGGAGAGAGATACTATTACAAGTTGCGCGAGGCAAACGTTTAACGATATCGGTATCGGATCGCGCTTGGCGCCCAAAATACCGTCTGCCACGTGAATCACGAGAACGCTCGTAAAAGAGCTGTTATATAGACCACACGTGTGGGGGGGGCTCTTTGAGTCACCGGTTGCCCTTATCGCGCTCGTGTACCTACAGAACGATCCAATTTTCGAACTGTTTAAATTCAATCGGCGCTACGGACTTGTCGATAACGGTGCAAACAATCGAAGCGAGGTATCCAATAAACAGTCAGCCATTCGGCTCGTGTGTCTCGTGTTCCATTGGTGGAGAGGCTGAAAATCTAATTGCAGTGCAGCCTCCCCCCTTTTCCAACGCAGAAAGTTACATCGATTCATTACAGCCAGGAAGAAAAATGATTGCTGTTGTTCACGTGAATATTAACGGCACGCCTCACGTGTTTCCCGTGGATGTGACAGTAATGCACAATGACTACGATAATAAATTTATGTTGTTAAATTGCTACCCTCCGGGGTTCTTGCACTCGTATGGGAAACCGCTACTTACTTACAGGAGGGGGAGGCGGCTCGATCGCGCGATAGCCTTTTAACCCGCGGCTTTAAAACGATTACCGCGGGAAAAAAGGGACGCTTAACCCCGCCATTAAGCGCACCTTTTAGAAACTTGAACGCGTGTGTAGTGGCTGTGGAGAGTTGCCGTGGATTTTTGTGAAATTCGCTACCCCTGCGAATTTTGTCGACGGATAATGGGATTTGGACATAGTTGTTGAAATTGAAATATAAAATGGGTGATATTTGTGAGAACATTCTAGGGAATGTTCGTGGAATGAGCGAAGGGTGCTCTGAACTTTTAATCGTTTGTCTATCTTTTTCCGAAAGGACCATTGGATTCGTATTTAAAATGCTTATCGATAAAATCAGGCATCATAGGACTTTGTCGTTCATTCGATGGAATGCAAGTGTCAAGCGTTGTCACAAATACAATAGAAACTTACAAAACTGAGGTTGACAAAACTTACAAACAAGAGGGTTAATTGGATTAAAGGTAAGAAAAATAGGATTTTATTACGAATAATAAAATTATAATGAGAATTATTATATATAACTTTGATGAAAGTAAAAGAAATTATCAAATTACAACGAAATACAACAAAATGTTCCTTTGGTAACTTAAATAATTCGGGAATGAAAGGGTTAAAACTTCGAGAGAAATTCGAGAGGTTCTAAGAAATGACGACATTTCTGGCAGGTTAGAAAGATACATGGACACGTAGATTTGGTAGCTTGAAAGTTACGCGTCTCGTAAAGTGTCTCGAAACATAATAAAATTGAAGAATTTGTGGTGTAGGTGGTGTCGGCGCGCGAAAATGTAATGGACCCTCGGGGGTAGAATTGACGACGCGACGGTGTCGCTGCTGTAGCCGGTAAACGCTTGCGCGCGCACTTCGAGTCACGTTTCTATCAGTGGAAACGTTCAGTTGCCGCCGCGCGGCCGCGTGAACCGCAGTTTTTGAAGTTTCCCCTCTGAAAAAAGGTTTCCGATTCTGTGCATATGTGCGTGTGTCGTGAATACGCGAGAAAACGAGTGCTTTTAAATTCGTTCGTGGACGGTTATCCTATTCCTGAAGCAACGATGATCATTAAATTCATTTTCTTTCGTATTGTGTTGTTTCATCACGATGATACGACCGTGAGAGGAACGTTGACAAAGCTGACCGAAGATTGAAAACTTGACTAGTGAAGGTTGACCAGTGTGTCTGGACGTTCAAGTAGGAGTGTACACTTTTTTTAACGCTTTACATAGTGGCTAATTAGATCGAGTTATCCTTTAGTATTTTTATTCCAAGTCAATCGGTTTATCGACAGCGTTTGTTTTTTGAGGTAGACTTGAATCTTGAGAATACGATCGAATAGAAACTTCTGCAAAGTTTAACTCCGTGAATACGTATCGTCGAATCGGTTGGGTTAATCGTGACCTGCAAGTCCTAAGAGACAGCCATGTATATTTAGAGGTTAGACCGTGTTCGCTTTGTTGCTGCATAAAATGCGTTCGGTAACTGTGTTGATCGACGTGACGCCGTTGACCAGATACGCAGGGGGTTAGTGACTCTGTTCATTTCACTTTCAACATAACAAAACACCCAGTAATAAGGGAAACAGATTTTATATTATTCTCGCGAGTGCGAAGCATCGATGCGTCGAAAAGTACCGAAAGTCGGACTTTGTTTCTAGGATGCGGAACAACAGGAAGGGGGCGGTCGTTACGGCGAAAGAATGCTGACCTTTAAACGATCCGGGTGTCGTTAATAAATTTTTCACTGTTATTGCTTTTTCCTGAAAGGTGGCCGGAAGTTTCGTTGAAGCCAGGTGCGTTCGAGCGTGTTTGTCTGTGAACGCATTATCTAATTGAAAAAAAAATTTACGACTCTTCGTTGCGATTCATGTACGGCTCGAACTCGGTCCATTTGTCGGTGATAAATAGAGAAATGTATTTGACCGTTAATATTTTCTTCTTTTTTTTTCCAATAATTCTCCGAAAGTTTCCACCGAAGGTCGTAAATAGGTTAAAAGTTTTTGGGCCGAGGTAGGTACGGGACTGAATAGGGTAATTAATTCGCGTCAGTTGTCACGGAAAAATCAACTACAGCTCGGAGAAACATACTTCGCTCGCGTTTCACCGGAGCAACAGTTGTCCGGGAGTGTCACTGGCAATGATGATCCACAGCGCCAAATGTCCGCTTGATTTTGATCAAATTTTCGCGCCGCTATCCCGTCCGTATTCGTTTCACGTGATTTCAGTCGAGATTTAACAGTATGCAAACGAGAAAATTAAAATATGATAAATTATGCGTCGTTGGATGGTTGATAAAAACGGATAAAAATCGGGTAGATGTTTTTCTGACGAGGCTCCCCGGTGTGAATTTCGAAATATCGACTAACTTGTTTGTTTAGGATGTTTCGTAACCGTATGGGATTACTTTAATCGGGGACAGCAGAAAAATTTAAAAGGAATTTGTGTTAATGTTCGGTATTTACTTGACCTTTTTCTCGAATTATATTATACTGGTAGTATGCGGCTTTTGTAAAAAGCGCCTAGAACCGGCCATCTTTAGTTTAACTCTAAAACTGCAGATGTCGCGACCTAGAGTGCTTTAGTCTTTAAACAGTGTTTTTGAACGGTCGCGTGTGTAGTTCTTTTTTTGTAATATAATATTTAATTTCTGATAACGACGTTACACGATTCATACCTCAGTTTTGTCTGAGAACAATAAGAATAGTTATTGTTATACAGTTGTATGTTGTTGTACTGTATGAACATTTCAAACATGACGCGACGCTATCAAAAAATTGAATATAGGTTACCGTGCACAAAAATGACGACAAGTGTGTTGATTGATGGAACAAGTGAGTTGATGTCGTTTTTTATAAAATAGTCTACAAAGACAGGGGTAAAGATCAGTAGCCTGGTCATTAACAATTTAAAATATTAACATATTTCGTACCAGGGAACAGAGAATTTGTTATGTACTTTTGGTTTTTCTTCATTTAATTGTCAGTTAATGAGTTCGAATGTGACAGAATTGTCTAGCATTTGCATACAACACTTTAGAATTTCTACTTTCCTAGCGAAAACAAATTTCCACCGGTGCAACTTAAATCGAGACGCTGCAGAATGCTGCTGACACGAAGTATTTCGGAACTTCCTTGTCCTGGTAGATTTCCTGTCGAGTCGAAGGAGTTCTGGGCTAAAAGGCCTTAACTTTTCCGTAAAATCTAGTGTTTCATCTTCCGGTTCTATCTTGAATTCTACAAATGATTGTCAATCGAATATTACGTACATTTTATACCTGTCCATTTTTAACACTAGAACTACCAAGCCAGTCAAAATAACTGGTCAACACATTCTTACAACGAGGATTAAAATGTTATAACAATACATTTTGTCAGATCTTTTGTAACTTTTATTACGACATGACATTAAAGAAATTAGTTAATTTATAAATTAGTAAATTTTCAAAAGTTTGCCATATTTATCGATCGATCGAGAAAGATATGCGTTTATCATTGGTAGTTCTAGTGTTGAAGAGTCATAGCATGTAGCATCGTATTTATTTATTCATAGTACTATCCATTTAAATAATGTCTCAAATTACATGTTCCATATAAATTTCACGTCGTCGCTAAAGAAATAGGAAACAGAGTAGATATAATTTTCAAGTTGAAATTATTTCTCGCCAAGTAGCAGGATCATTAAATAAGAAACTCAGGTTCGTTCAGTGGTGTTGGAACTAAAATTGTTGTATTACAAAAAAAAATATGAACAAATGAAAAACGTGACGAAATAACCGAAGTGTGTACGAGACAATTGAGGCTTCACGGAGATGAGACAAACGGCCTCTTCGTTCCTCGACGAATGTACGGTACAGTGTGTCCCGTTGTCGATACGGAATAGTACGTCGTCGATGGTAAAGTAATTGAGTTCGTTCGGTTAATTGCGTCACCATAAAACGTTACAAGTTATTTACCGGTGGTGTTTTGTGCAAGTTCCTCCGCCCCGAAGATACGGCCTGGCATCGTGTCCTTGGTGAGTACCTTGGTCCATTATTCAAATTGAATCTCTTATGGAATTGCTACGGTAATGTGCAGCCCTGACACTAGACGGGCAATTATTTTTGTGGGATTGGTCCATTATGTTACAGGCGCGTTGACACTTGAACCGTTACGTCGATTGAATTTTCCTTGTGGATCTCAAACAATACGAACGAATTTTTGGTATCTTCTAATGTATTTTGGTTTTTTGAAAATTTTTGTAGCTATGTGTTTCGTAATGACGTTTATTTGTGATGTGAAGTTAAATATGGGTGAAATTAATTTGATGAAATTACAACTGTTTTTTTTTGTGTTAACATATTACTTACCGGCTGCTATTTAATAGGTGTAGTAGATCTAATATCCAGCAACCAAGGAACTATTATTGAACAGTTCAATCGTAGTAGCAAATTACATTCATGAAAAATAACTCGAATTCTAATAGAATAACGTAACAGTTTCTTCTTTAACCCTGATCTAAAGGTAAATTAATAGGCTTCTTATTTATGAGCACAGAAATTTAAAAATCTATAAATAGGCTACCGGTAAGTAATGTGTTAAGGTTTAACATACAAGTGAAAGTTAAACGTGAGTATCCACTTTGAAAGTATGGGATTTATTCATACTTATTTCCCTCGATTTATTATCTAATATTTTGCACAAATGATCTATTACATACTTAGTTTTGATTCTTACTGTAGATTTCGTCGTAGTCACTATACCATTTGTTCTCAATTCGTAGAAACTTAAAAATTCGAACGATTAAATATTGGAAAAATTGAAAAATCCCAAAATCTGAGTACCTATTTCAAGCTTCGAAGCTTTTCATTTTTAAATATATTTAATCTCTGTCACACGTTCATGGTAAAGCAAGAATTTGGAATGTATATGATTTGGGATAGAAACAGATTATCGTAATTAGTTTCCCATATCAAATTAGTCTTCCGACCTTGTTTCCCGCCGATCCAATATTTGAAAACTGCAGACCCGTATAAACATTCGTAATCTAATAACAGAAACGGTAATTACCGCCTCGAAACTGCTTGCTTTCCGTAACGTTATCTTGAAAACGTGATCTTTTCGGTCCTTCGTCCGCCGTTTCTTCCTGTCCTTATGAACCTTCGTCGCTAGCAGCTGTGCGGGGCTAATAATCTCGCCATTTTATTCTCACATTTCGTTATACTTGCGCTTTGATGTTGCTCGTTACATCGTCCGTATCTCGCGAACGTCTTTCTCCACGACCAAAATAAGGAAGTCCATTTCATTTAATGTCTTCAATCTACAAAAAAATATTTTATCCAATTACGGTCAACACGTTTACGGTAAACGTCGTAATAAAATCGAAATCTGACGTGGGTCTCGTTTAGTGGCAATACGAAATCGGTATCTCGATCGCAATGCAATTCGGGGCTTGGTTATACCAGACCTGTAAATATCATCGGGGCAATAGCATGTCCCCACGCCCATCCTCATAAATCGACCGCGTAACCACGTGTTCGATTTTATGATCGATGCCTCATATCCTCCTGTCTTCATGCGCGTGTGAGCCTTTTAGGTGGCTCCCCGATACGGTGAATATGGGACGAGGAAATAAACCGATCTGCGTAAACGTTGCAATTGCACCGAGAAAAACTAAACTGAATCTGGTTATTTTTCTTTTTCTATGTATAAGGTTGATTGTAAATGTTTTGATTTATCTCTGGATCTGACTGTGTTTTCGTGAATTAAAGATCATGATCAATTGATCGTATGGGATGTTCACTAAAGAAATATAAAACGAAATGAAATGGATACATAAAATGTGAGTAATTATCATACGAAATGTCGGAATATAACAATTGGACTGTGATTTTACGTATTTATGGGTTAGACGGTTGCATGAAACCGTAACAGTGTTGGATCCATTCAACAGAGAAATTATACACACGATATTTAAACAAGCATTGTTGTTTCTGGAAGCGACGGAAACACGAACACAACGAATTTCACGAATAATCTGGTTTAATCTGTATGTACAGTAGCGTAACAGACCTATGCATAATGGATTGAAATTTATCGTAAGATCGTAATTGAATAGTTCCTAATCTGAAGTGGATTAAATAAGGTTTATACTAATGCAAATTGGAAGTTAGTATTTTTAACTTCAATATTATGTTGTATGTATAGGGTGGGCAGATACGTGTTAACAGACTTTTCAATGGATATTTAATTCCATTGAACATTATAAATAGTGAATACGTTAATTTTTAAATATCACATTCGAGGGAAAATGTGTAAAACAGTTTCTGACTCGGTGCTTTTGCTTTTGCTGGGAGGTCAATGAATTGAAAATAGGCCATTCAGATCACTGACAAGAGTTACGTCTAATATCGTTCGTCGATCTGAACTTCGTTGCATGTGACTTTCTTATCATTATACTTCAAGCTTTCCTTTATACTTTTTTATACAGAACGCGGTGTATTACAATGAGACATAAATTACCGCAGCCAATCTTTTCCAGTCGAATTATAAATTCGTTTCGAGAAAAGACCACCGGAGTCCGGACTCGAGTAGAATGACTTTTAAGTAGAATGACTTTTAAGTAGAATGACTTTTAAGTAGAATGACTTTTAAATAGATTGAGATCGTGATGATCAGCCACGTAGGAACGAAATACATAAATTGATTCGTGACTGTGAAATATAAAACAAAACGATACTTCCGATTACAAATTATATAAATTACATTGAAATCTCGAATACAATCGAGGAAATATTATCAACAAGGGAGGCATTTTGGGAATCGTGAAATTCATATTTTTCGAAGTTCAGCTCATGGGATTCATTAAATTTGAATATAATGAAATTTAATAAAATTAAATGAAATCTACTACTGCAAAAAAAATTATCAACCGGGTAGCGTTCGGGGAATCGTTGAATTCATTTCTTTTTAAGCTTCAGCTGTTGGAATTCATTAACTTTGAATATAACGAAATTTAATGAAATGTAACGTAATCCATTGCTCTCTATAATATTAAAGAACATATTAAAATAGTTATGTATTTGCTCAAATTTAATTAAATCCATTAAGAAAATGGAAAAGGAACCATTTCATGAATACAGTACCTCACAACTTTCTCATTGTTCTCCACTCTAATTCAATGAAAGAAATAAAAGAAAAAGAATGTTTACAATTTTATAACTGTTCAGGAGTTTCTTCCTTAATCATCTAATAGGTATTTAACTAATGGAAGATTTTCCTTTAAATTTCTATTCTCAAAAATTCTTTTCGTTTTCTTTTGATTTCTTCAGAGTATACACACAACTTAATTAGCCATAATGGCGGGAACAATGGTGTCTATCGTTGGTTCTTCTACACTCTGAGACCCACGTTTTCGTAACCTCAGCAGTGTTAGTTCTCGACAGTATTCTGGTTGGGTTTCAATCAGACTCCGATTGTCTTCCTGGTGTTCGCTCGACTCTTGGTTAACCCCTTCTACTCGAATCTTTGATCAGGCTCGTGTAATTAGATTTCAGCCGAGTTTCAGTCTCCTTTACAAGACACCGTCCACGAACGTCAGTGGTGTTTGGTTCACTCTTTTAACAACAAGGTCGATTGTCCTTGAAAATTATCCACGGGGGTGTATAATTTTAGACCGTGCATTTCTTTGCGGCGGCGTTGCGTCAGGACGATAGCTCGAATGAAATGCTTAATCAAGAGTTTAATCAAGGAATTTAATCAAACCCCCTCCTAGTTTTCATTAGCCCCAGTGTGTGGTGAAGTTGGAACACGTCTATGATGATATATCTCTTTGATAAATGCACTATCGAACATGAGAAAATTCATCGTTCGACTGTGAATGTCTATGCGAATTCGCAGATTTCTATAGATTCCTCAACAGAATTTCGAATCGGAGAGAACAAATTATTTTACAAATCGAGGAGTTCATGAAAGTATAAATGAACAGAAGCAGCATTAATCACAGTGTCAGAGAATGTTCTTGACTTTTTACGATTTTACGTAAATCATAAATATTTTACGGATATCTACGCGAGTTCCCGTTTTCATCGACAGATTTAGAGAACCTTGAAACCTCAGGAACTTGCTTCACCCATTCAATATGTCATTACTATTGGCTTTGTTAAATTGTATTTTAGTTATTGTTTCAATTTTGCTATGGAACTGCATAAATGTATAATATTCCCGATCTGTTATGCAAATAAAAATAGTACGTTCATTAATCGAGATATCTAATGGATTGAAGAATTCGATAATAATTCTTTATTCGTTAAGATTGAAGAACAGTTTTTAAATTTGTGTTTACGAACTGTTATGTTTCGTTAAACAACAACTATTAAGGGGTGTCCTATATTTTCTTTAGTACCTCGTATGTTGTCTGCGTAATAACTTTATACATCTCAGACTTACTTTTTAAATGATCTTCGTTAAAGTACCAAGAGTAAACTTTTCCTAACTACGAGACAAATCAGTGCCTAGTACTCGAGACACAAAGGGTACTATCTTCACGAAACCGCATCTCGTACTCCTGAGTATCGATTCCCGCTATTTCTCATGCTATTTTAAGCTATCGTTCCTCGCATATAAAATAGTCTTCAATTAGTGTTTAACCAAATTTCCAAGGACGCTGGTCCCATCATTGTCTCGCGAACCTCGACAATAATAAAAGTCTGCTATTCTTAATGTCTTCATTCAACGGTTCAGGGATAAATTCGAGACACGGCATGACTGCCTCGAAGCGTATCGTTCAGAAGGATCTAAATCATAATTTGTTCCACCGTTATATTTGGTAGTGCATTAACATTACAACTACCGAGGATAAACGTATATCTGTTTTTATTGGATCGATAAACATGACAAATTACTGAAAATATTTAAATTTATAAATAAACTAACTTCTTCATTTTTATATTGCAAGGAAAATTGTGAAAAATCTGAGATAAGTGTTGCTGTAACATTTTAATTGTCAATATAAGAATATACTAACCAGTCATTTTG